TCCTTCCTTCCTTCCTTCCTTCCTTCCTTCCTTCCTTCCTTCTCTTCCCCCTTCCTCCTCCTCCTTTTTCTTTTATCAGTTCTGACCTTGCTTCCCTTCCAAGCCTAGACAAGGATTTAAAAATAATTCACAACACCACCTTTGGTGAACCAGGGCCCAATCCATATTAACAAACACCTATTCACTTAGGGCTCCCCTTGCATCTGAATGAGAAAAGCAAACAGGAATATTGCTTGTGTGAGCAGCGTGCAATGCAATTAAGCCATACTGTTTTAATTTCCACTGAGGAATGGTGAGGAGCAGGTGGCCTCCGTAAAATCTGGGTTTTTTTTTTCCCCAGCCAGACAAAAGCTTGCTCATGATTACAGGTATGCTGAGTGCTGTTGGTTTGCAAGGCACCTGCAGTTTTTATTTTTACCTTAATGCAGGAAACAGCTGCTTCCCCTAGAACAAGATAGTACCAGTTGGCCAATGTGGCAACTAATGTTTTTCAAGGGCTGAGCTACCATGTTTGTTCAAGCTACCGTTTTGCATATGCTTTTATAGTTACTGTTTTTCCTTATTGTTGGCTCGCTTGGCTCGAAACCTCTCCCTCCCTCTCTAAATAACAAGTTTAAGATTTAGAGGGAAGGACTCCTTTGGCTTTACAAGTGTCAGGCCTCAAGTGCTTTTAATCATAAAAGGACAATCTTGCAAAGGAAGAAGAAGCAGCAACTACATCTGGGCAGCTGTGCTTTCTGTTCTGATTAGAAAGAGCAGGTGTTTCTCTGGCACCTTCTTATGAATAGTTTTCAGTTTATGGTAGCACGTTCTGAGATAAGATGGTCCACATCCCTGTCGAAATAGATGGACCTTCAGGAAGCAAAGTGTGCTTGGCATTCATGGAAAGACTTGGAGGCCAAGGATTTGCTCATACTTCCTAGCAAGAGTTTGTCAGTATCATGGTCCGTGGGAATATCCTTGAGAGATAGGAGGAAGAGCCACAGCTGGTGCAATGGCCAGATAAGAGATATCTCAGGCCACAGAAGGAATGGGTGTGGAGAAAGCATCTCAGAAGGGACCTTCCCTAGTTCTCTGGAAAGCAAAGGTGAGGGAGGAGACATGTGTTTTTGGACTTGCAAGATTCTGATACTGTAACCTTACAATATTATTATTGTTGGTTAGGGTTAGGGTTAGGGTTAGGGTTGTGGAATGGGTTAAAATTCAACTAGGAATTTCCCACTTAGGACAGCTGTCCTGCGGAAATGGCAGAATTAGGATAGGTGTGCCTAGTGGCAATCCTAGGACAGAAGCTTTATTTATTTATTTATTTATTTATTTATTTATTTA